TGATGGATGAATGATGGATTGATTGATTAATGGATGCACTGATGGATGCACTGATGGATTGATGGATAGTATCCTTCTGGCAGAGCTTGTAACATATTTCCACATAGCTAAGAATGACTCTTTCATCATTACTGCTTAATATGTTTTAAATATACTAACTATTAATCCATGCAGGGCCTGTGAGCTCCAGCTGGTGTGAACATCAAGACCTCAAGTTTCTCCATGTGAACCTGTTGGACCCTCCAAGCGTGTCATTCAAACTGATAGGCTTGGCTCAATTAGAACCTCTGCTAAACAGAAGCAGCCAGAAAAGACTCCTTACACTTGAGTGTTTTTCCTGTCCACACTCACAGCAGCTCATTGCTGTGAGAAGAACAGTCACGGTGAAGTAAATAAAAGGGAGCTCTTCCTTTAGTGTTCCTCTTCTTATTCAGAGGGTGAACTGAGATCACTTTTCCTTCCTGAAACTGAGACTTATGTTGGTTTAATATCAACAAACAAACACAACATTAAAAATATCACTTTTGCATATTTGATTTTAAAAGTAAATAGTGTAGGTCAGGGCTATTCAACTGGCAACCCACGAGCCATTTCCGGCCCGCTGGTGACTTCAAGTACTTCTTTTTTTTTTTAAATACCGTTATTTTTTTATTTTTTTTCGGGGGGGGGGGGGGGGGGGGGGGGGGCGTTCTGGGTTTGGATTTTGGGTTCTGTTTATTACATTTATGAGTCATTGCAATAAAACAAACAAATTTAAAAGGTAACAGATCATTGTAATACTTTGTTTATTGACATAATGACTTTAATCGCTGGATGTCTGGCCCCTGAGCTCCTGGCTTTCAGTAACTGTGGCCCCTGGGCAGTTGTGTTGAATAGCCCTGGCATAGGCCGTTCAACACTGCAAGTGCAGCTTATATTGCAACCATTCACTGAAATTGTTGTAATTTTGTCCATGACCACAACTTATTCCTCCAATTTGACCTGTCGTTGTAGTATCATGCTTGGTTTCGTATTCTGAAATCTGGCCTTGAAAAAGTTTAAAGCAAATCCAACAGCAGGCGATCACATTCCCATCAGATTTCATCACAAAAAGACGTATAAGTGAGTTTAATGACGTTCTTAATGAAAGTGGTCAAATACTGTTTTACACCAAGTAGAACACTACAGTGAAACAAAGAGAAGAACTGTTCTTTAATGAGAACTTTTCCAATGCAAACCATCACACCCAAGAATGGACAGGTCTGTTCCTTTTTACTCTGCTGACCCATGACCCAGCTGGGAGTGATGAAGAGCAGCAAGAGAGGGGTTTCTTCCCAAAATGGAGGCGAAAAGCAGTTGCTGACTGGAGGAGGTGTCACCTTAAATTAAAGAGAATCTGATCTAAGTTTATTATGTCTGTGACAGGAGACAAAAAGTCGGGTTGACTTTTTTGTCTCCCATCGGCAACTGTGCATGGCAACTGCGACAGGTTGACATGGCAACCCGTCGCAGTTGCCATGTCAAAATCCAAGATGGTCACCACCAGATATATATATATA